TTTCAGGAACCGCACGTCCATCTGCTTCGCGACGACCACGAGACCACGTTGTTGTTCTCTTCTAACCATGGGCTGCTGGGAAATTGATATCGACTTCATCAGCCATGATCTATCACGTGCTGGATGACCCCCCCCCCACCCATCTCACACATCCAAGCTGTCGCCATCTCTCACGATTCTGCGATATTAACGATCCAACGCCACGCTTTGATTGGCGGAGGCACTGAAGGAAATGCCGCGGACATTCAAATCCTTCCCTTATCTAACGACTCAAACAATCGTGATCGTCGTCGTGGAGAATATAAACAACACGTGAGATAAACAGGCAATATGTATCCTTCATCTAAGTTGTCTCTCCACGTAAAATATACAAATAATGTGTGACACTACCCATCGGCTTCGCAGCCTTCTGGGAGTGCATAATTTCAGCGAACCTCTGTGTCGGTTTCGACTTTCAGTGTCTCATCAGCAGTGAGGCTTGCTTGAATCAATGATGGTGAACTGTCGATCTGACCGGCAAGGTCCCTCCCTCTCTCTCTCTCTCTTAACGGCGCTCCTCATTATTATTTTGAGTTAAGCACCTAAGTTGGTTTATCAAAGAATTAGCAACAAGTTCCACTGGCTTGGGATTTAAACACTTTGCGAGTTAAAATGCTCCACTAATCGACACCGCGGTGGCTAGGAGATGTTAACTCTCTCGCCCAGTGTCCAGGAGGTTCGTGGGTTCGATCCCGACCCGGACGCCTGCTGCTGTATATTTGGAGTTTGCACGTTCTCCCCCGTGATCGCGTGGATTTTTCTCCGGGTCCTCCGGGTTTTCCCTCTACATTTAGAATCAACATCACGCGTTAAGGGTATTTGGCCGCTATAAACGTCCACACGATGAGCCACTTTCGTTGAGCTATTATCATTTATGGCCGGGTCTTACCGTGTAAAATAAAAAAAAAATGTTTCGTTTAGAGCCGTGGCATTCTCCTCCAGGCCGTTGCGTGCTGGTGTTGGGCATTCTCCTTTGCATTTAAGAAATGACACCGCAAATGAATCAATAACATGAGCACCTATCGCCCCCCCCGCCCGACACCCCCTCATTGCAAACACTTGCCAGGACCCTCCTGTAAAAGAGTCATGTGACTCAGTGAGGTTTTAACCTGGTCATAATAATAAATTAGGCTTAATGAAACAGCATGCCAATTGCATATACTTTACATAAATAAAACGCAGATAATCTTACACACGTGATTCATTGAATGTTTAATGAATTGTAAAAAATCTATATCCACGTGCAAGAGCGTTGCAATAGGAAAACATTTTTTGTTAAAGCAGAAATAAACTCAGTAATAATATAATATTAATAACAGTGAGTGGTGTTAGTGTAGCAACAGCATGGGAACATGCGGTCCCCGATGCGACATATAAATCTTCAGTACTTTATTTAGAAACGGATGCTGCTACAGTAATGCAGTCGTTAGCACTCTGGACTTACGAACCTTAGAGGTCGCAGGTTCGGTTCCACCTCGGGGCGCGGCAGCTGATACAATGCCGCAAGTTTCTCAAATCCACTTCCCCCACAGGCCTCTGTCCATCCACCGCAACGTCGTCGACGATCGGCGAGTTCGCGTGTATGGTGGGGGTCAAGGCCGTAAGCCATGGAGTCAATATTGGTGGGGAACAAATCTTCCAGGGGGTCTGGGGGTCCCCCCCCCCCCCAGAAAAAAATTGCCAGAAGGGGTTCACCATTCCGGAAAATCGCCCGATGACGCTGGATGTAATTACCAGCGAAACGTCGTACTCAAAATTGTAAATGATGTTGATTCACTCTTCAACACACCGGTGGGCTAAAGTAGTGAACTATTTGTCTTTTGTAAACGTGACACTTTTTTACTGTTTGGCCGTGTCGGGTGGTGGAGAGTTACGACACATTTATAATTAACGCAATCTAACCCAAAAACCTTTACTATGGATACTATTGGTCGCGAAAGCCTACGTGTTAATCAGCGTGGAAGGGTCGATCAAATACCATCGACCTGGGTCTCTGGATCTTTAGAGCTCACTCGAGTGGAAAGTGTGTTGACTTTTGACCTTCCAGAGAAAAAAAAAACCATTAGAACATTTGACTTCGCAGTCAACTCTCCGATGATCGGGGGGTCAAAACCAGAATGCTTATTTATACTGGGGAAGAAATCCGATTAGCCATAAAGCTCTTATTCACAGATGTCCAGTGGGGGCAGGTAATTGAAAGAGGAGGTGGGTGGATTCTACAGTGAGGGAAAAAAGTATTTGATCCCCTGCTGATTTTGTACGTTTGCCCACTGACAAAGAAATGATCAGTCTATAATTTTAATGGTAGGTTTATTTGAACAGTGAGAGACAGAATAACAAGAAAATCCAGAAAAACGCATGTCAAAATTTTTATAAATTGATTTGCATTTTTATGAGGGAAATAAGTATTTGGCCCCCTCTCAATCAGAAAGATTTCTGGCTCCCATGTGTATTTTATACAGGTAACAAGCTGAGATTAGGAGCACACTCTTAAAGGGAGTGCTCCTAATCTCAGCTTGTTACCTGTATAAAAGACACCTGTCCACAGAAGCAATCAATCAATCAGATTCCAAACTCTCCACCATGGCCAAGACCAAAGAGCTCTCCAAGGATGTCAGGGACAAGATTGTAGACCTACACAAGGTTGGAATGGGCTACAAGACCATTGCCAAGCAGCTTGGTGAGAAGGTGACAACAGTTGGTGCGATTATTCGCAAATGAAAGAAACACAAAAGAACTGTCAATCTCCCTCGGCCTGGGGCTCCATGCAAGATCTCACCTCGTGGAGTTGCAATGATCATGAGAACGGCGAGGAATCAGCCCAGAACTACACAGGAGGATCTTGTCAATGATCTCAAGGCAGCTGGGACCATAGGCACCAAGAAAACAATTGGTAACACACTACGCCGTGAAGGACTGAAATCCTGCAGCACCCGCAAGGTTCCCCTGCTCAAGAAAGCACATATACATGCCCGTCTGAAGTTTGCCAATGAACATCTGAATGATTCAGAGGACAACTGGGTGAAAGTGTTGTGGTCAGGTGAGACCAAAATGGAGGTCTTTGGCATCAACTTAACTCGCCGTGTTTGGAGGAGGAATGCTGCCTATGACCCCAAGAACACCATCCCCACCGTCAAACATGAAGGTGGAAACATGCTTTGGGGGTGTTTTTCTGCTAAGGGGACAGGACAACTTCACCACATCAAAGGGATGATGGACGGGCCATGTACCATCAAATATTGGGTGAGAACCTCCTTCCCTCATCCAGGGCATTGAAAATGGGTCGTGGATGGGTATTCCAACATGACAATGACCCAAGGCAACAAAGGAGTGGCTCAAGAAGAAGCACATTAAGGTCCTGGTGTGGCCTAGCCAGTCTCCAGACCTTAATCCCATAGAAAATCTGTAGAGGGAGCTGATGGTTCGAGTTGCCAAACGTCCGCCTCGAAACCTTAATGACTTGGAGAAGATCTGCAAAGAGGAGTGGGACAAAATCCCTCCTGAGATGTGTGCAAACCTGGTGGCCAACTACAAGAAACGTCTAACCTCTGTGATTGCCAACAAGGGTTTTGCCACCAAGTACTAAGTCATGTTTTGCAGAGAGGTCAAATACTTATTTCCCTCATTAAAATGCCAATCAATTTATAAAATTTTTGACATGCGTTTTTCTGGATTTTTTTGTTGTTATTCTGTCTCTCTGTTCAAATAAACCTACCATTAAAATTATAGACTGATCATTTCTTTGTCAGTGGGCAAACGTACAAAATCAGCAGGGGATCAAATACTTTTTTCCCTCACTGTAGACGTAGATTTCATCGTAAAACATATTTGTATTGATTCCTAAAGTGAATGAAACACGTCAACACATTTAAAAGGAAGAGTACGTAAAAGGCGACGTTTCTGCCAATGACCCTTCTGCATTGCCAGAGCGTGGACAATAAAAGGTGGGAGACTGATCTTTACCCCATGGGGGTTGATGAGAATAAAACAAATCCTGATGAACAGAAATGTAAACTCTTTACACGCCAAATTAAGAACTGTTAATCATTTTGTAAAAAAATGTTATTCCCATCAGGCCCCATGGTGTTAAGTGCCAACTCTTATTATCCGATCTCTGGCCTCTATAATTCTATTTTCATCCTCGCAGCGGCTTTTGGCGAGACATCGAACAAAGACGGTCACCGCATCGCGTGCTTTCAGCTGCACTTCTGCGGCCGTCTGGAACGCTCTTCCGATATTAGGAAGCCTCCTGGAGCTATGTACTTTCAAATCCAGATTGAAAAATCATTTCTTTGGAACTGATTTTTGTATTTAGTGTGTTGTCCTTCCCCCACACCTCCGATTAGCGCGGTTGGCTACGTATCGTGCGAAATAAGTTCAACATAGTACGCACATGTACAGGGACTCCGATAATTACGAACGAGTTAGGTTCCAGAGATCTATTTGTAAGTGGATTTGTTCGTAAGTCCAACTTTACTTCTGTAAATTCCAAACATGTTGTACGCCGTTTCCACTAAAAACCAGTAATGGCTTTAAAAGTTGTTTAATCTGCTGCAGATGTAGATGCCACTGGTTCGTCACGTTCTGTAGATGTAGATGTCACCACCACAATCTATTGGGCGGCGGTTGAACTTACGACTCTCGGCCCAAACAGGCAACTGGACATACGGACAGGTTTGTTCGTATCTCTGAAAGTTCATAAGTCGAATGTTTGCACTCTGAAGAAGGGCCATTGCCCAAAAGTTTCCTATTTTATACTTTTAAGGCCGCAGTGTTATTGACGAACGTGTTGAGTCTTGTTGTTGTTTATGCACCACTACCAAGGCATTAGCAGCGGGCGTCACCACCACCAACACAATTTGTTTAATCTTAAAAGCAAACGGTGTACTTGTCAACCAATGTTTCACCATCACAAGAGCACCAAATCACTGACGCTTGGCGAGTGGGGATCGGACAATGCCTTAATTTAGCCGGCGCGTGCGTAAAGATATTTTTTTTAATATCTCGACCATATTCGTTTACAAATCCAATCAACCATGCGATCTGCATTCAGAGCCGTCCCCCAGGCTACGGCGCATCGGGGCGACCGATATGCGGAGACATTTCGCGCAAATGTATTTTTGTAATTCATATTCTCCACAGCGACGCGCGCGATTGCTTTGAGTTTGGCACTGTATTACGATATAACGTCGCGTTGAACTAGCGCCACATACATTATACAAGCCCTTGCCTGTAAGATCAGCAGATAGATCATCAGCATTGGTTCAAGGAAGCCCGTTTCTGTTGATGAGACGGTGAATGTCAAAACCGGTGCAGTGTACTTCTCTTGAAACAGTGCTTTGTAAAATCACGCACTCCCGGAAAGCTGCGTGTAAGAAAAATTAAATGTGTGTGCAGACTAATATGCGACTGAGACACGGCCTGCTTATTTGGTTCTTTAATCATTACTCTTTTTTTGCCATAGGTCTTCACTTTTTTTTAGATTGTGTTGGCGTTTATATTACATCGCGTCCAACGCTCCTTCGCCATAATCTATTTAACAGGAAATATATATAGACATGTTTTTCTTCGTTTAAAACTCAATTGTCCTTCTGTATTGCGATGCATTGTTACCGGTTCACAACACGTTCATGTGCAAAACGTAACGTTGAAGGTGGCGCATTTGTAACGTGCTTTTTTCTGAACAAAGGTACTCGATTGGGATTACAAAGATGAAGGTCCCCCATATAGCCTAAACAGAGTTTTGGGGGCAAGTGTTGTGAGCGAGCACCTATGAAGGCCGGCACGGCACACGAGGGGGTGGGTGGCCAGCACCAGGCCCGGGCGCCTTTGTCTTCCCAGTGGCGATGTTTTTACACACCGCACCAGGGTTACTCATTCAAGGACGAGTCGACCTAGGGGATGGCCCAGGAGCGGTTCCAATATTCGCCACTGTTATTGTGAGCGAGCCGGAAATCGAACTCGGGTGGACCGGGTTCGTGACGCAGTGAGTGCGCATACGCCGCTGCTCCCAAGCCAATTGTGATGACAAACACGCAGAGCAGCAATCGTCGTGCCATCCTGGCGGACTGATACCCCGAGGCAGTCGCTCTTGCAAATGAGACTCTATCCTAGTCTCCTGCGTTCTCACCTGGTTAAATAAAATCAACTTGACACTTAACTTGTGCAATGTAAACACAATGATTGTGGTGGTGGTGGTGATGATGATGCTGATACATGATTGCTGTGGTAGGGTGATAGTGATGATACTGGTGCTTCTTACTGCTACTGTTGTTGGTGGGTGGTATTCGTGTTGGTCGCGTTTTTGATTGTGATAAATATGCCGCTACTGATGATGGTGTTAAGTTAAGGAGTGGTAGTATTGGTGGTGATCGTACTTGTGTTGTTACTGGAGCCGTCCCTAGGGTACACGGCGAATCGGGCGATCGCCCCGGGCCCCATGTTTTGGGGGGCGCCATGCGTCGATGTCACGGCGGTGTCAGATGTAGTTTATGATGACGATACTTGTGATCTGCTGCTGCTGATGACGGTGATGATGATGGCGATGCAGGCGTTAGTTTGGTGATTGATCGTTGTGCTTGCGATGTGTCTATTGCTCATTCAAAATCTGTAAATGGCAAGAAAAAGCCATCATAACAGAAGGGGTGATGTGTACTTTTGTAATTGTGTAACAAGAACCTACCCCGACTGACTTCAGGACCAACGTGTTCAAAATCGTAGGTGCCCCACAACACTAAAGTGCATTGTACCGAGGACAAAACAGGTCACGCGAAGCTCACTCATTCTCTATGTCCCAAACGCCTGGAACCCCATCGCTTTAGGTAGACTCATACGTAGATCCAAAGGCTCACACAGAGACCCATGGACTCAGAGAGAGAGACCCATGGAATCATAGATAAACCAATAGACTCACACATACATGTAAGTCCATAGACGAACACAGACACCCATCGACTTATAGAGAGTGGCATAGACGTTTAGATAAACCGATATAGAGAAACCAATAGCCTCACGCACAGACTGACAGCCTCACACAGATACCCCTAGACTCACACACAGACCCACGGACTCATAGCGAAACCAAACAGACTCACAGAGTTCCATACTCGGTGTAAATGCGGTGGGCATGTTTCTCCGTGAATGCCCCAAACTCCTGGAATGCCATCATTTCAAATATGTCCTCGGTCACCCACCTACCAAAACAACAATTCTGACGCTGAGCTGTCGATTCTTTACGATAACGTCACTGAAAATTGCAGCTGACTCCTTACAACCCGGTGTGTTTACACGTTGGTGCGATAGTCGCCAATTTTCTGTTTGGCGTTTCTGAAACTCATGTCATTGTACCACATCATTCGTCTAAAAGTGGTCTTCCCGTACGAAAGTGTCTTTTTGAGTCCGTGCAGTGTTTTCGATTGCTCGCGTGGCACAGTTGTTTTTGTGCCGATTTCTACTTGGTCTTCGTTGCTGCAGGAAGCCACCGGAGCTGTGGCACTTTTAAATTTAGATTCAAAACTCATTTCATGCGAACGGCTTTGTGTGTTGAGTTTGTGTGACCCCCCCCCACACTCATCGTCACACTTCCAAATGAGTCTCTCATCCCTGGAGAGTCCCATGAGCACCGCACACGCGGTTCGAACGAAAACAGGTCCTTGCAGGGTGGGCTGGTAGGAACATTGGAATTTTTCACTTCGTTAAAGTATTGAAAGGGGACGGACGGACGGACACATTAATCTATTGCAGGCTGGTACACTCAGTTTACAACTTCGTTCCTACCAGCATAACCTCCTGGCCTCAAATTCGACACACGCCGCTGACGATGCTGGTGCTGCCGCCGATGGCAACCGCGACCACGAGGTCACTCCAGGGAGTCCATGGCCACGGACGCACGCCTCTTCCTCGTGAGCCTCGACAGGTACCGCTGGTAGACGAGCACGCTGTGAAAGCGCTGCCTGAAGTACTTGGACACGAGGAAGTACAGCGGGAAGAGCGCGCAGCAGCTGACGTCCATGAGCAGCGAGAGGCAGGCGATGATGGCACCCGAGCTGCCGCCGCAGTCGTCCGCCCCGTCGCTCCAAAACCACCGCGTGCCCAGGTGGATGGCCATGCCGATGTGGTAGGGCATGTAGAAGCCCGCCAGCAAGGCGATGATCGTGAAGATTATCCTCAGGGGCTTCGACCTGCCCTTTTTGCCGCTCAAGCTACCGCCGACATTGACGCGGCCACCGCCGCCGTGATGCCTCTTGCCCAGCAGGAACCTCACGATGTGAAAGTAGGTCACGGTGATGACGGCGAACGGCGCCAGGAAGTGGAAGATGGTCATGACCAGCTGCTGCAGCCATATCTCCCGCCAACACGTGATCACGCTCATCTTGTGGCAGCTGCCACTGCACACCGCCTTGCTGGCCTCCTCCGTGAGCATGATCGGCGGGATCTGCGTGGCGACCAGAAGCCACACGGCCGCGCTGGCGAGCCGGTAGACCTTGGCCCGGCGGATCGGCCCCGCGGCCACCTTGTGCACCACGGCCAGGTAGTGCTCGACGCTGATGCAGGTGAAGAACCACAGCGTGGCCGCCGAGAAAACGCAGCGGGCGGCCACCAGGACGCGACAGAACGACTTGCCGAGCGACCAGCCCCCGGTGATGAAGTGGAAGAGGCGGAACGGTATGAAGGCGATGGCGATGAGGTGCACGATGGTGAGATTGATCATGAAGATGTGCACCTTGTTCTTCTTGGAGGTGTGCGTGAAGACCCAGAGAGCGAGCCCGTTGATCAGGCAGCCGGCCACGAAGGTGACGCTGTAGACGACGCTGTTCAGGGCGGCGTACCATCGCTGCGACCACAGCGACTCGTCGTCCGCGCCGCCGACGGCCGTCGCGTTGGCGTCACCGAAAGCCATGGGCCTTCACGGGCCTTCTCCCCGTGGTTGGGTGGGTGCGTGGGTGTGCCGGTCGTCCACGGGTTGATCGAAGGGCAGTGGAGGATCACGCGGCAGTGAGATCGTGAACGGTGGCGAGAACAAGCCCGGGTAAGTTCCCAACGTCCGGAGGTTTTCAAATGTTGCCACGTTCCTGCAAACAGCGACGTGAACGCAAGCAAGAGTCATCTTTCTTGAAATGTCATTTGTTTGAAACTGATTTGTTCGCGTGCGTTTAGTTTGTTGTTCCCCTCCCCCCGCCCGCACCTCCGATTAGCGTGGTTGGCTACATACAGTGCGAAAGAAGTTCAACATATTTACATATCGATGCACACTCAGTCAAAATTGGAAAGGATCTCCTGGAAAAAAAACCCATTGATCCATATATAGATGTGAATAAAGTAAATGTATTTTATGCATTAAATCCTCACTGAGTCTCCAGACTCTTGCATGAGGAGGGTCCTGCTCTGGCCAATTTGTGCAACCAGGAAAGATAACTCACAATAGAGCCAGCGGTTTTTAATCTCCAACAGATGCATCATTGTTAACATTCGAATCATCATCAGCAGCAGCACCAGTGGCAACATAACCCACTATTACCTGATGTGACATGGACCAAAAAACACACGGGCAGTGGCATGGCACAAAAAATCGAACAAAGGCTGAAAATTGTGCAAAGAAGCGTGCATGTCTACAGTGGCATCGAGAGACAGAAAGCAGAAGACAAGAAGAAAAAGATCCCCCATGTAGCCTAAAAAAAAGAGTTTTGGGGCAAGTGCTGTGAGCGAGCACCGATGAAGGCCGGCACGGCACACGAGGGGTTGGGTGTCCAGCACCACGCCCGGCCGCCTTTGTCTCCCTATTCGACGATCTTTTACACACCGCACCGGGTACAGTACTCATTTGAAGCCGAGTCGACCTAGGCGAGTCCCAGGACCAGTCCAGATCATTGTCACTGGTGTTGTATTCTGGGCCGTCCATGGCGTGGGGTTGCGAGCCCCAGGGCAAACCCCACTGTGTACCCCCCCCCCCCCCCGACGCCTTCGAACTATACCGGGGAAGTATTACATCCGCCCCGATTCTCCGTAACCCCGTTGGGGAACGGCTCTGCTTGTCATAACGGGACGCATTCTGGTGGGTCGCCGCGGGGAAGGAAGCAGGGGAAGAGTCGCGCGTGCGGAGACTCGGTGGCACAATGGAAGGCGCAGGAGAGGGGACGGCTCGTGGAGCGATGGTGATATGGGGGCGCCATGGTGGCGAGATGTTGACTACCTCGCCTGGTATACAGGAGCAGGCAGCATTGATTGAGTACAAGCAAACCCCTGGAGCGGTTTTCGACATGCAGTGTCTCATCAGCAGTCAGGCTTGCTTGAATCAATGCTGGTGAACTGCCGATCTGACAGGCAAAGCCCCTCACACTCTGAACGAAATGGGGTCCTTGTTCTACACAACGGCGCTCCTCATGATTATATTTAACAGCAAGTGCCACAGGTTTGCTCGTAATTGGCACCGTAGTGGAGATATGTTAACTCTGGCCTGGTATACAGGAGGTTGTGGGTTCTATCTCGACCCTGGTGCCTGTTGCAGTATATTTGGAGTTTGCATGTTCTCCCCGTGGTCGCGTGGATTTTTCTCCGGGTCATCTGGTTTTCCCCTCCACATTTAGAAACGTGCGTTTAGAGTATTTGGCTGCGAAAAATGTCCACACGACGATAAGCCGCTTCGTTGAGCTATCACGTGTGGCCAGGTCGCTTCTGAACGAAGAGCTACACAGCTCAGTGGGCTTCACCTGGTAAAATAACAGTTTTTGTTTAGTTTTAAATCGGTCCAAGTGCCGGCGTGAGATGGAAGATTATAGGCCTCGCAAGGCTCATGTGGCATGGGCAGGCCTTCATCCAGCAGTGGATAGACAATTGCCGCTGATGATGAACGTACTTACACAGTCATAGTAATAATGAAATTAATCCGTTTATCCAGCTGAGCCATACTATTCCCTTTTAGGAGGGTTCTGCATTGGGATGTTTGGCAATATTGTACTACGATGTATGGATATTTTGCACACAAAAAAAACATTTTTTTTTACCGAAAGCCCTAGATTCATGAAGGAGGCGTTTGAGATTTGGAAGGCAGGGTGGGTGGCACGGTGGTAACATGCCACACGGCAAGAAGGACCTGGGTACAATTCCCTGCACCCGGGCGCATTTTATACGTAGAGTTTGTCCACATCCCTCCCTTCTTGCTCTGCATGGGATTCTTCCGACTTCTCCGTTTGCCTACCACAGCTAAAAAGAAACGTGCAATGTTTGTATGTTGAACTTCTTTTGGCACCGTACAGGTGTTGGTCAAATATCAAAATGTAGCAGGACTCTCCTGACAAAAGAGTCGTTGGGCTTTAGTGTGAAAACTCATTTTCTTTCGAACTGCTTTTAGTGCCCAGTTTGTTGTACTCCCCCCACCCCGCACCTCCGATTACCACTGTTGGATACGTACGGTGCGAAAGAAGTTCAACACACATACATACATAGCGTTGACCTTTCTGGGTAAATAATATTTTTTAAATATTTAAACAAAGTAGGCCTCCAGAAGGCCTCTCTCTAAATTGTCAGTTGGGAAGGAAAAAAAAATCTCCACTCACTGCCTGTATTACCCGGAATGAGAGACACGCAGTGAACGAATTGAAAAGAAAAGTACCCCAAAATAATCCGGATAACACGGAGCTGCATTTTAGATTTCCCAACCTCAAAAGCGTTTTAGCACGACTACAGTGTGAGGCACGGGGCTCATTTTAAATGATTTCGCCGACTTCCTGAATGTCATTGCCATCCGCAGTCTGCACTATATTGATTTACACGCAAAAAAAAATATTTAAAAAAAAATCGAGCCTTAAAGGCATTTGGTCAAACATCCCAATTACGGGACCCTCAGGAAAAAATATAATCTAAACGCAGATTTTTTTGTTTGTATCAATGCATGTTTCAAAATTAAGTCGCATTGCCTGTATATATATAAATCAGTTGTTTATGTTTTACATGCTCTGAAGCGTGACTCCGTAATAAGTACGTTAAACCTCTTTGGCACCGTACGTAGCCAACCGTGCTAATCGCAGGTGCAAGGGAAGTAAGGACAACAAAAGTAAACACAACGAGCAGTTCCAGAGAAATTCGTTTTCATTCTAGATTTAGAAGTGCATAGCTCTAGTGGCTTCCTAATGTCGGAAGGACGCGCATTTCAGATGGCCCGCAGAATCGCATCTGAAAATCGCGCACGATGCAGTGACCGTCTATGTTCGATATAACAGGCAGACCCAGCATAGCCAACCGAGCACATCTACGCAATATGAGCGAGCCGAGTAGATGGCGTCGCTACATACCTTCCACCGCGTCCGTCCACCTTGTCTGATGTGCGGGAGTTGGTCCGTAATGTGATCCGTCTCTGGTTACGCCAACCCTCCACATTCAGGCAAAACTCCAGGGTGTCCGGGTCGGAGGGGGGGAGAGGGGAGGGTAAGAATAATGTTCGCTTTGGGTGCTAAAAATGATAAAATCCCCTTTTTTTAAAACATGTTTCTTTCGCCTCCTCTTTAGAAGCACGGACGTGACCAAAACGCGAGCGAGCAGCTGCCGCGTGAATTCTACTCCGACATGTGGTCACGGCCAGCTTCCTATTTCGAGGGAACTGGTTAAAAGCTGAACTTGGGTGCGCGAATGTGACGGACGGGGCGACGAAAAAAAATACGAATTCCGGTTGATTGCTCACTGCCCGCCGAATGACGTCCGCGTCACGTCGGGGAAGTTGGCCGCAAAGCGATGCGTGCGTCCGCATTCCTCTGCAAAAAAAATAATCGTGGGAGCTCTCGCTCCCAACAAATTGACACGCGTTTGAAGCCGAACATTTTAAAAACTCACTTCTTTGGCACTGCTTTTTGTGTTCAGTGTGTTGTCCTTCCCCCGTACCTCCGAAATAGCACGGTTGGCTATATACGGTGCGAAAGAGGTTCACCACGCATACGTACTGCATCGCGCGCCTTCAGATGCAATTCAGCGGCCGTCTGGAATGCTCTTACGATGTTATGCACTTTTACATCGAGATTGAAAACTCATTTCTTTAGAACTGCTTCTTGTGTTTAATTTGTTTTCCTTCCTCCGCACCTCCGAGTAGCACGGTTGGCTGCGTACGCTGTGAAAGAAGTCCAGCACACACGGTACAAACCAAACGAGCACGATTCTGCACCCAAACACGTGCACCGGACCGCGAATGCGAAACAGAAGCAGCCGCAAGCCGTTGCCATCAAATGGCTCACATACGTTACCCTGGACGTACAGTCTACATACATACACACTTCCCCACACGCTAGAAGAAGGAGATTGTGTTCAGAGACGATGAGCAGGAATGCTTAGAAAATCCAGCATTTCATAAATGTATACAGCACGTGCCGATGAACTGGTCAAATTCCTACCAATATAATTGCTCACTGGTGGCTTAAGACTTTTCACGTATTAATGCAACGTCAACGCGAGGACGTTTGGGTCAAAGTCCTCTGGGCTTTCCTCAGGCAATGACTTCGATGTCCCTGCGTGGTGGTGGGCCAGCCCCTCTGCAAGAGGGCTGGCTCCCTTCTCTTTTGCTGACCGCTCTCTCTGTGGGTGAAATCGAGTTCGCTGCTCCCATCGCGGATACTCCAGGCGGCTAGGGAGTCCGCCCCGGCGTCGTGCGTTGGCGTCGGACTCGGCAGGGTGAAAAGTCTCAGGCCGCTGGTGTGGACGAGGAGCTTTGTCGGTTAGAGTTACGATCGACGTCCACGTCGGCCACGCGTAATCATCACGTGGAAAGTTGCCCACTTTTAGCTCCCCACGCTCTGGGCACCCCTGAACGCGCAGTGGCTGCGTCGTCTGCAGGGCTGCCCAGAGGTTGCCAAATGAGTACATGAACAGGTCGCGCATATGGCACGCAAAGTGCTTGTCACAAATGAACCACGATACCTCGGCGATCTCGTCAAGGGGCATGAACCATCACGCGAACTCCGGGCACCCCAGCAGCAGCAGCGGCTTTTGGCTGGGCCATCGAACAAAGACGGTCACCACACGCGCGCTTTCACATGCGCTTCTGTGGCCGTCTGGAACGCTCTTCCTTCCCATATTATGAAGCCAGTGGAGCCATGCACTTTTAAATAATCTAGATTGAAAACTAATTTTTTGGGATATGTTTTTTTGCGTGTATGTGTTTAGTTTGTTGTCCTTTCCCCCGTCCCCTACGATTAGCACGGTTGACTACGCACGGCGCGAAAGAAGTTCAACACACATACGTACAACGAAATACAACGGCATTATTTATGCCATGTCAGCATTTATATTTTTGGGCATCTTTCACATGTGGCCGTTGCGGGTTTTTTGGCGTGAGCTTGACACTTCCTCCACTGTTTCTGCAGCGGCAGCATGTTCTGTGCATGCACGCGATGGCGTCTACAGTAAACCCGTGGTCAGTTGCTCCCCCCCCCTAAAAATTAGGTAAGAGTACGTGTACCATTGATGAATTACAAGCACAATTATACAACGCAGAACCAACGTACACGTGCGCACATCCGGCGAGACACGCCAGACCATTGGCTAAACGGTGGCTCAACAGTGCACGAAGAAGCATGGCAGCAGAGGTGCATGCTGGGATAATACTTTGAGAGGCAGAGAGAATGATCGTGTGGATGACAGAACGGACGCAATGTCGAGACGTCACATTCACTGTTAGGGAACGCAATTGGGGGATTTGGACGGTGGTTGAGAGTGGTATAAAAACACGTTGTTTCAATTATTTCGAATAGTAATACGTGTTGTTTGGCTCTTTCGGTAAAAGTCACGTAGGAAGAGGAAATAATAAATTAATTAATAGCGTACGACGTTTCGATTGCAACACAAGCAATCATCATTAGGTACAATGAAAGAGAAAACAAACCTAGTAAACTTTGATTTAAAGCTTTCGTGACTGCAGGGATTAATATTCTTGGTTCTTTCGGTAAAGTCACGTAGAAGGGAAACAATAAAATAATAAAAATATAAAACAATATAATTCTCACGACGTTTCGACTGCAACACAAGCAATCATCATCAGGTGTGAAAACCACAGCAAGAAAATTTTCTAGTATCGCTTTAAACTATTGTCATTTTAGTGCGTATTTAATGTGCCGCTGCACTCTGATGTTGTAGGAGAAAACATTTATTAAAAAAGTATATTTAATTAAGTAGAACGTACCTCCATATGTATAAAAGGCAAAGTTGTGAATGTGTGTCTGTTCAAAATGTTTAGCGTACTTCCCGACATGCAACAAACTTGAAATTTGCCATGTGAGTACTTTCCAGACTGTACACGATGCAAAAAATATAAAAATACACTTTTTTGGGGGGGGGGGGGAGGAGCTCAATAATGCATTTTTTTCACGGCAAGTGAGCTGCACGTCAAATCTGTCACGTGACCCGCGCATGTGGAAGCGTAACGCATTGTAGTGTAGTGGTTAGCGCGCCGCGCTACGAACCCGGCGACCCGAGTTCGATTCCAGCTCACGGCCACCACCGGTCACGATTATTTTTTTTACCGGTCCTGGGCCTCTCCTAGGTTGACTCAGCATCAAACGAGTAACTGCTCTGCTGTGTGAACATCGCCACTGGGGAGACAAAGGCGGCCGGGCGTGGTGCTGACCACCAACCCCCTCGAGTGCCGTGCCGGCCTTCATAGGTGCTCGCTAACAGCACTTGCCCCCTAAGCCTCACAGGCTACACGGGGGATCTTTGTCTTTATCCTGTGTGTGGGGGGGGGGGGGTTAGGGGGCAGCGACTGCGTAGCGATTCGTGCGCTGTGCTACGAACCCGGCGACCCGAGTTCGATTCCCACTCACGGCCACCACCGGTGACGATTATTTTAACTGGTCCTGGGCATCCCCTAGGTCGACTCAGCCTCAAACGCGTAACTGGTGTGGTGTGTGAACATCGCCATCGGGGAGACAAAGGCGGCCGGGCGTGGTAAATCCAAGTCCCGGGCGTAGCCGGGTAGTTAAGCTAGTTGTCTATATTTATTTAAAGTTGCGCATTTTGATGTGACGTCACATTTCTCAACCCCCCCCTCCCCTCGTCACACATCGTCACAAATACGGAGCGCGCCAGTACGGCGTTAAATGTTCGAGACCGTGAACGTAACGAGGACATGATGAGGCGAGATGAGCCGCGATTTTCAATAGCCTGGGTGCGACCGTGCGAGACACATCAAATAATTGTTGGGCCCCCCACCTGACCGACTGCCACACCCAACCTGAGCTGATAACGTCGTGCCTACACCACTGACCCACGGTGAATAATGAAGGACGTCTACTGGATACGAAACCCCGTGAACCAATGCAGAAGGACACAGAGATCGCTCTTCTGCACGGCCGCATCACGGACCAGTGTAATTCATACGGCAACATCGCCCCCTACTGCAAAACTTAGAAGGGCCCAGACTTCGTCCTTGGTAAGTTACCCATGTCAACATGCCAACGGTGGGTCAACGTTGGCACGTGATTGCAACCGTTAAGGCCGTTGGCACCAACGTTGGAGAAACGTTTCATGGTTACTGTGGGTGAATGTTGTAATAGAAATAGTATTATTGTGAATGAGCGGTCACTGGAGATTTCAGCAGCAATTCTGTGATACCATTTCCGCATTTCTACCTGCGAGAGTTGCGACTGGATTCTTAGTCTCAAGATGCCGATTGCACATCCAGAATAAAGTTGTGGAAATATGAAAAGATAGCCTTGGCTGTACAATTATACAAAGTTGATGCCAGAGGCATTGTCTATTTCTTTCTAGATTTGAAGTTTTAGTGACTGCAAGGATCTTTGGTTCTTTCGGTAAAGTCACGTAGGTGAAAAATAAAAAATAAATATTGTTCACCTATGTGACTTTATCTAAAGAACCAAACAGCATTGTCTATTTTTTGCCCATGGTAAGTCTAATTTATCAGAAATACAATTTATGAAAGCTGCAAGCCAATGGAAATTTAGTGCAGAGCAGCCGACCCAATTGTTAAGATGATGTTATTCTATTTAGATCTTCTGTGAGTCTAATTCTAATGGAAGATTATTGGAGCAAGCTTGATAGAAACAATCTCCATCGCCAACATGGGCCGAATAAGTTGGTGAGTGGGACTGACAGAAGACATATAACCCGCTATGGTTTTACGGTGTGACCGTTTCAGCAAGGTAAACAACTGTATTGTCAACGTCAGGCTTTGGGAGGTACCCAGGTCTCTTAGCTGTCAGAGCGCTGTAGAGGTACCATATCCAGGATTGAAGAGGTACGGTACCCAGTGATCTCAGCAATCAGATCGCTGAGGAGGTACCGTGTCCAGGATTTGAGAGGTACCTTACCCAGGAGTCTCAGTGGTCAGAGCGCTGAGGAGGTACCGTATCTAGGATTTAAGAGATACCTTATCCAGGAGTCTCAGTGGTCAGAGCGCTGAGGAGGTACCGTATCTAGGATTTAAGAGGCATGGTACACCGGTGTCTCAGCGGCCAGAGCACTGAGCCGGCGCAGCTGACATCAGAGGGTTGAATTTACCGTCTCAGCCTGGCCATCAGCGGCTGCTCTATAAAACATCACAGTAAAATTATAGTTTTTTTCATCATCTATATTGAGTTTGTTCCAGCTTTGTGATTTTTTTATGATTAACATGTGAAACAAAAAAATGCAGGCTATTTTAAAAAGTGTGTCTCTAGAAGTGATTTCTTAACTTATACGTATTATTTCTTTAAATATTGTAACAGCAAAATGCCTTGAAATGGCG